AAGTGTGGCCAAGCAATGATTTCCAAAAAAGAAAAATGATCCTCGACGATCATCAGCATTTTTTTTTATAATCAATTCAAGTCTTTTTAACGCTTAAAAATGGTTCAAAAACTATCGGTCGACAAGGATCGGGAAAAGTAGCGAGAGAGGGCTTTTAAAAAAGGAAAATTTCTTGCGTTCGATTTCTGGTGTCACGTAAGAAGCTAGACGGAAGATGCGTAGTAAGCAGCAATGAGGCATCACCAGTGTGATGAAAAATATTAGAAGTATTAGGTATTTACATCGGCAAGTTTACGCTTTGACAGACGTGGTGGTGTACGGAATGGCGAAGTTGGCTGAGGCTGCGCTTCTGCTAGATTCTTCTGCTGAACTTCTGCTGCTTCATCTGCTTCTTCCGTAACAGCTTTCTCCACAGATTCACATGAGCGCAGCGTAAAACTATCGTTATTGTTATCATCCTCATTATCACTGATTTGCACAGTTGCCGATGGTACATCCAGTGCCTGAACAAGCCAGTTTAAGTGTATAACGAAGTGTAGAACTGTACAGCACCACACTGACCACTTGCTAAAGACAGTTCTGAATGAAATTTAAAACAGGACAACCGCTTCTCTACTGTCGAAATCACGATTAATTTTTCGCAGTTATCTTAAGCCATGGGATGCTGCTAGGAGTGCTACAAATACTTAGATACTTGTACACTTTCTTCGCAAACCAGGGCGATTAGCAGCTAGATCACATTTACTTGCGCATGCGTGCATAAGCTAGTACGTGCACATGGCCGGACAATTTAGTCGCAATGCTAATAAAGCTAGCAAGCTAAAAATTTAGAAACGTGGTCAGTCAGATCTCCAGTAAGTCATCCAGCCACTCTCTCAGTCAGTCAGCCGTCCTAGATCCTAGAAATTCCAGACCTGCAACACATAATTATTCGCTAGTGATGCTACTGAAAATCAATTTAGACAAAACCTGGCTAAAGAAGAAGATTAAAAAAAAAGTCATAATTCGATAAGAGTTACCGGTTGAGATGAGTTATAAACAACGCTCCTCCTTGAATTCAAGCCTTCAGAATATGTCGCCAATGTTCCATCGGTCATCTAGAAAACTGAGTATTTCATAGTTCCTAAGCTACATTCCAGTTTCAAAGCAGAAGTTTAAGAATACAGTACAACATCTGTAATTTTGTCGCAACCCGAAACGGAAGATCATATATTAAAAGATGAAAGTTTAACCCAAAATGGACACTTCACGAGAATGGTAGAACAACTCAGATCCTAGGAACTTTATCGTTTACAATTTAAGGTACTCAAATCACTGCAAAAAGGAAATATCGTGGGCTCCAATCAAAGCACATCAGCTGAGAAAACACCGTACCAGCAAATATTGAACTTCTATTTGAACTGCACGCTTGTTGGCCGGCGAGCTCATCGTCTCTCATAAAAATTCAGTGAACTGGTGATGAAAGTTGTTTTCGCGCAGCTGCAAGAATACCTTCAGCAATAACAAGAGCTGCAGTTTAAATAAGAGTGACTATTCAAATCCCTTCAAAGCACAAAAGTATGCAGCGAGTGCGCGTTGTGATATATGATGCAAATATAAGTTTGATCTTTTTCTATTACCACGCGTGTGAAGAATAAACACCTCACCGAAATTCCGATCCTAGGATGCAATAGCTCTTTACGAGTAACCAGTTACATCAAGCTGAAAAACTTGATTTTTTGAAATTCTGTCTCGTTTCATGATATCTTTACTTTTTCTTCATTCCTTACTCAAAGGTTCCTA